TTGGCCCGGCCCGCCAATTTTTGGCGGGCCAACGGGCCGGCCCGCGGGCCATGGCCCACTTTGCCATCTCTACTTTATTTCTGTGAATGCCCTTTCGATGCTTCTGTCTCCTCTTTATGTATCTAATCCCCTCTAACTGACTAACTAGTCCCCTCTAAATTACTACTGCTAACTGCCTTTTTTCCTCCCCCTCTGTTCTAATAATACCACCGAACCTAAAATTCACCTTGTCCTCATGTTGGAAACTGAGGATTCCCCTTGCATGAGTTTCTCCTGTCATCTCCCCATAATATTGCATCTCCCTCTCAAGCTTGGATAATCTCTCCATTCTTATTAGGAACCCAAGATGGAAATAGAGAAAAGTTTGAAACTGAATGGAACTAGAAGACTTGATTGTCCTCCAAGGGAGTTCCCTTCCCAAAGGATTTCTCTGTTCTTCTAATTCTTCGAATTCTCTCAAATCTCAATGCCTTGGCCATCCTGATTCTCCCCTATTTATCTAACTGGTCCATTCTAACTAACTACTGCTAATTGACTTTTTTGCTTCCCCACTGTCCAAACAGGTAGCAGTTTGTTTGAGAAACTCCCAAGCACACTTGCACATGCTCATAATTTAGACTGAATTCCATATCACGAGATTAATTTGGAAGATTGTGCTTGTTGAAGCTTTTGTTGATTCTACTTGCACAAAAAGCAATGGCTTTTACACTTACATTTAAGATGCAGTTAACTGGGTAGAATAACAGATGACAATTGAAAAACTTCTGAAACTTATTGCCTTTTTTGCTACAGATTTGAACCTGATATGCTTGCGTTTTCTGGATGTGATTACGGTGGAGGGGAGAAGGAGCAGAAGGAATTGAGTGCAATAAGGAGGAGGTGGAAGACATTACATGTAAGATTCGCATGTTAAATCTTATTACCAACCATAATTTAATAGGAGATACTGAAAATGTAATCACATCTTATTCACTTTTAGGAAGTGTTTTTATATGTTTGATTGCACATGTAAAACCATAGGGCATGTGAAACTAACATGATATTTTCATAGAATGAATATCAGCAATGACTTTTTACATTGAGCATTCTTTCACCCTGTTAGGGGCAAGATGCAAGATGCTAAGTAAATAGGTGTTATTCTGAATAAAATGCTTTGTTGAACTATGTTTTCATATGTGAAAACTGATTTACGTACTGGTGAATAATATGCGAATGTTGATATGCAGAGAAGCAATCCTGATAGGGCAAGGAGGCAGGGAAGATGCCCATTAACCCCCGAAGAAGTTGGTCTCATGCTAAGAGCATTGGGATATGGTTCTGATGTTCATATTTATGTTGCATCAGGGGAAGTATATGGAGGGGAAAGAACATTGGCACCTCTAAAAGCATTATTCCCTAATTTCCATTCAAAAGAGACCATTACTACTAAGGAAGAGTTGGAACCATTTTCTTCATTTTCTTCTCGCATGGCTGCACTTGACTTCATTGTCTGTGATGAAAGTGATGTATTTGTAACGAATAATAATGGAAATATGGCAAAAATATTAGCCGGGCGAAGGTATGTTATACTCTATTTACATCTTATTTTTTATTTTTTTGTTGATGAAATCTATACTTACTAATAAGCTTTCTGGGAATTATTTTGTAGGAGATACTTTGGGCATAAACCAACCATTCGTCCAAATGCTAAAAAACTCTATCGATTATTCTTGAATAGAAGTAATTCAACTTGGGAAGTTTTTGCTTCTAGTGTCCGTAATTTCCAGAGAGGTTTCATGGGGGAGCCAAAGGAGGTTAGACCAGGTAGAGGCGGGTTTCATGAGAATCCATCGACCTGCATATGTGAAGATTCTGCAGCCAAAGTCGACAAAAATTCAGGACCTAGAAAATATGGGAAGGATAATTCAACGAAGAAAAATGTGGCAAATGATGAACCGGTTGTTGACAATGAGTCTGAATGGCCAGACATGGATGAGGATGATGAACAGAATGATTTGACAGAGAAGGGTGCGTTCAATGAAACAACTGCAGACTACGAAGCTCTGAACTTTGAGGATCCTGATTTGGAGGAATTTATATCAGATTAGTGAAAGCCGCATTATTAAGTGCTGATGTACCTGCTGACTCATTATGGTTCTTTGCCTTCATCACGTTCCCTTGAGCAGATGCTGCTAGATTTGACTGTTATAAAAGCCCCAAAAACAGGAAACAGAAAAGGCACTCCTTTCTCAATACTGGACGAACTATAGTAAAAAGACATCTAAAAAATATAATCATACGATCATCTTCTGCATTTCTAAGGACATAATGGCCTCAGTTTGATGCTGAATTTGGGGGTGTTCGGGCTTGTACTTGAATCAGTAAAGAGGTAACGAGAAGTGAGCAATGGGAATAGAGTTGGAGGACAACCATCCGACATATAACTGCACACAAAATTGAGTTTGCTAGGAAGTAGTATGAAAATCTGTATATCTTGAGGAAAACCGTCGCAGTTGATACTTGCACCGTCGTTCTTGTCTCCCTTTTACATTGATGCAGACCACCTCACTATTAGAAGCAATTAGGTGCCAACTATATTTTTTGCGCCTAAAGGGAACATAGTAAAAGTGATGGCCTGATGGGTTACTTAGCCTGTTTTATGAACATGGATAAATTCTTCCATACGAGTAGTCACAATGAAAAGTAGATTTTATTTCACAAATTTGTGCTTGGTGGAATATGTTGACATTGTCAATGTACTCTCTTCGTTTGGAGGAATTAGAGAAAACAGTATATTGAAGATATTTGTCTATATATTCAACTCTAGTCCCTGTCTGTGATTGTGAACAGCGAAAACTTATGTCAGGCAGTTTGGAATTTTATAGGTCGTAAAATGGCTGCAGTTAAAGATTTTCATTTACAGAGATATAAATAATAAATGTATCACTTTTAAATACGATTTTATTAAAATAATTTTGCTTAATAAATATTTATTTTTAATTAAGATAGTTGAATAATTAATGAATGAACAAATGTTAAAAAATATTAATATTATATTAGAGAATAAGAACATCAATCATGTTGAAATAATTTCTCAAATATTAAAACTACAGACAATTTCGAATGGAGGAAGTAGTTTGCTGCACTTGCTATATCTTATCCGTGACTGCCGCTAAATTTGCCAGATTCGAACTGAATATTGTATAAGAGCAAGCCGTGCTTATGCATCATCGATTACTCGGCATGATCTAATTAAAGAGCACACAAGTACCACTAAATTAGAAACAGTATCCAATAATATGACAAAAAATTAACGTGGATGTCATAAATTATAAATAATTTAAGTAGGAAGCCAAAGGAATAAAAAAAAGGTAGGAGAAAGAACATTAAAATGGAAAGAATGAATAAAATGATGGATCCATAATGTTACAAAATGAGTTACGATGGCTAAAATTGGAGAAAATAAATAATGCTTGTGAGATGTTCATTGCAAATCTTGAGGCAAGTCATCATCAGCATCAGCATCAGGTTGAGGCGATGGAGGCGAGACAAAGTCCAAATTAGGGAAGACACCAGGAGGCCTCTCCCGAGGCTCTATTGAAAGTAATTGTGTTGAATCACCCACCACATCCGCCCATCCATAATGAGGTTCCGCCCTATCAAATTCAAATCCAAATTCAAACCACCAATTTTACCATTTTCTTCTCTCTTTTTTCGCGGGGAGAAGTTTATTCACACAAGGCTTAATTCGGATACTCATAATTTTAAGGATTAATTTGATATATTAAAAAATACAACTTCTAACTCTTATGTCATGCTCATTATACTTATAAAATACACAACATAGAATGAAGTCAATGAACCAATGCTATGCTTCATCAACACGTCTATCACTGTATTACAAAGACAAGCTTATATTTAAGTGAGACATCCACTTATATTGCAATCCTTGACCAAAATGTATCAAAAGTATTTGGTAGCAATTTTTTATATAAAAAAAGGCATCTCTGTCGTTACGTGTACGGTGTACCCAACAAGCACCAGAAATGTTTTAAGTAGTATGGACAACGACCATCTAGGAGTACACATGCATAGTAGGCTTTGATTAAACAAAGAAAAGATATACCCTTTACATGCTGATGCTCACATTTTAAATATAACTACAAGCATCTTGCCGACGTTGTGGTTATTTATGACGACACAATGGTTTCAATACAGCTATCAATTTGGGTTTGACTAGCTTGCAACTAAGGCCAAAATTTTAAGAATGAACTTAATAAAATCAGGTTATTCTAGCCCAACCCACTAAATCTAACAGGCTAAATAAATCCCGTCGAACTAGCCTACAAACTTACGGATTGACCTGTTAAACTAATAAATAAAATAATTTAAACTATCATTATTGTCATAAAATAATAGAATAAAATATAATATAATAACAATAATAATATTTCACTTTTTTTTTGTGTTTGTTTACAAAGTTGTGATTACAAACTTAGAGTAAGGATTAACCATTGTAATTTTTTCCACTCCTATTTCAGGTACTAATCATTTAAGACGTTACATTATTAAATGTATTGAATCTTCTAAGTACCAAGATATTATGATCATATTAGATAAGAAAGTTAATTTATTGAGACAATGAAAATTTGGTCCTAAGACTTATAAAGATGCATTTGTTAGATGTATTATCAAGCATGATCTTCCATACATTTTTACTAAATTTGAAGGGATTTAAGCAATGAATAAAATGTTAAATCTTGATCTTAAATGTGTTTTTAACTGAACAGGAAAAGCTAAAAAATGTGTTAATTACTATTTCAAGTAGAATATCTTTGACTTCTGATGTATCAACATCTGCAGTGCTTATTTGTAACTAATATATAGTATTGATTAATCATATTATATATATTTTTTTCATTGTAAAAAAATAGATTAATTTTTTTATGCATTATTTTAATTAGGCCAATTTGGCCCAACATGAACTAAGTTGAGCCAAAAAAATGACAATCCAAAAAGAATATAGGTTAAGCCAACTTAGTCTAAACTAATATTTGGCCCATGTAAGTTAAGCTAAACCAACAACGCTTTAGAGTGTAGGAACTCCTTATGGTCTATATAGATAGCTATATATAGAAATGCGGTGGATTTGTTAGTAGTTGAAAAGAATGTTCTTACTCATAATAAGTTTCCTCGTCTACAACTATATCCCAGCTCTCACCAGTAGTGCTATTTCCATACTTATGGACTTTCCTGTTACAGACGAAAGCAAAACCAATTAGCAATATGGCATAATATAGAATAGAAAAGCAACATTTCAAAAAAGCATTTTCAGGAATTGAATAAAAAACTGAGACATTGAATATAGATCCTATTTAACAGTTGAAGTCATTTTTAAACCGTTAAACGTGAACAAATAATTCAACTAATCAGCTGTAAGTAAGATTTTGATACCATACCCATTTCCAAAGTGTTCTTCTCCCCAAGTTCTTGACCAACCTGGTAAAAGGTAAGAACAATGAGGCATCAAAATTTATAGAAAGAAATACAGTAAACTGTTAGACCTCAGGAACCACAGGATTAACAATGAGGCATCAAAATTTATAAAAAGAAATACAGTAAACTGTTAGACCTCAGGAGCCACAGGATTCAAATAGGACTTTGAAAGTGTATTATAGGAAAAGGGGTAAAAATAGGAATTAAGCACATTTTATCATTTGGCCTATTATTTAGGATTTCTGTAGAAGGGAGTTAGTTTTCTGTTGTAAGAGATACCGGTGGATTGTTAGTTTGTACCGGAAGGGACTTACACCAACATTCTTTAAATAGGGCCTCTGTTTAGGAAGAGGCAGGGATTCAGTTTTTTGTTAGATACAAACCGGATAGATTCCAGTGTGAAAGGAGTAATCTCCTTTGTGTACTTGTCTTTTTTTTTTTTTTCTTCCTAAAAATCAATAAAATCTAGAATGAATAAAACACTATTACTTTTGAACATTACAGAAACCCTAACAATTGGTCCGACCTGCTGTTTTCCTCCTTATCGCGATGTAGCAACGCCTGGAAGTGGAAAATACAACTACCAATCATGGAATCAAACTAGCAAAACTACAAAAAGATGTCGCGTACATCAAAGCAAACATGCCTTATCTGACCCAACTCCAGCACCAGCAAAATGGGGTTCCAGTGAAGACAAGGGAGAAGATGAGGACGTGACAACACGTTCTTGGTTAAAGATAGTGGTGGAGAAATTCTTTGTGGTGTACCATGCTAAATCGTTGGAGCGACTGCACGTCACCTTCATCAATATGGAAGGTAACGCGTGCCATTGGTTCCAATATTGGCGTGACAAGGCCAAGAACCCATCTTGGGAAGATTTTTGATGAAGCAATATGGTGAGAATGAGGGAGGTACTGTGTACGAAAGACTTGGCAACCTTGCGATAGTTGACAGTGTCAACGATAATGTCCAAGAATTCGAATTATTGGTTGCCCAGGCCAAACCTAGTTCTGAGGAACAGGTCTTGGGGTATTTCTTGGCTGGATTACATAATGACATTAGAGGCCAGGTGCGCCCCCATGATCTAAAAGAGCTAAACCGCGCTATGGAGATTGGATGCGTCATAGAAGAAGCCATGAAAGAGGTTCACAATTATGGTAATTCAGAAGGCAGAAATTCCAATTTGGGATCCAGAGGTTCACAATTATGGTAATTCAGAAGGCAGAAATTCCAATTTGGGATCCAGTTATCAAGGAAACAATAGGATCATTTCGCGGATAGAAACCACAAGCAACAACACCGTAACAATCGCGAACCAAAGGGCGGAAATCGTCCCAATTATGCCCTAACAGGACCAAGACAAGGGGGAAACACCTCCTAACCTACCAGAAACCGTGGAACTAGGAGTCTGCCTTACCATGAATATATCAGATGACGAGAAGAGAATAAATGCTTTCATTGCGGGCTAGCATTTGCTCCGGGGCACCATTGCCCGAAGAAGAATCTGCGGGTCATTATCTTGGCAAATGACGAGAGTGTTGATTCAGAAAGTCCTAGTGTCGAAGACGAGGACACTGTTGACATGGATTGCAATTGGCTGGACTTGTCCATTTGCTCAGCAGGAGGACTAACCACCCCACAAACCACGAAACTCAAAGGCCAATTGCACAATCAAGACATTTTTCTATTAATAGACAGTGGCGCCAACCATAATTTCATATTGCAGAGGCTTGTTGAAGAATTAGGCCTCAAAATGGATCAAACAAAACCATCCTTTTGTGAGGCTAGGGGATGGGAACCGCAAGCAAACTCACGGTAGTTGCAACAATGTGCAAATCAGAATGGGTGATTACACCATGACATGATAATTTTTTATCTTTGATCTCGGAGGAGTTGATATCATTCTAGGGGTGGCCTGGTTGATGACTTTAGGGAAGGTTAAAGTAAATTGGAGGAACCTGCAAATGAACTTTGTGCACCAAGGCCGACCTGTAACCATTCAAGGCGACCCAAGCTCATCCAAAGAGATGATCATCACCAAAGCCTTGAGGAAATTGGACCAACGAGTCGTGGAGTCCATGGCCATGTTATGGATAGGGGAGGAAAACCATGACATGCCCCAACAACTAACTCCTAACCAAGAAGAACAGTTGCAGCAAGTCCTAACAAAATTCACTCAGGTTTTTTCCAAACCGCAAGGACTACCACCACACATGGACACTACCACCACACATGGACACTGATCATAGGTCCCCATCAAAGCCAGGATGGGCCTAATCAATGTGAGACCTTATAGATACCCTTACCTGCAAAATAATGAAATAGGGACGCAAGTGAATGAAATGTAGGCGGCTGGAATAATCAGGCCAAGCAACAACCAATATTTGAGTCTTGTCATTTTAGCGAAAAAGAAGGATGGAAGCGGGAGATTTTGCGTGGACTACCGTGCCCTGAACAAAGCCACAAGTCCGGACAAATTTCCCATCCCAATGGTAGAGGAACTGTTGGACGAACTCAAAGGAGCCACCTATTTTTCTAAGATCGATTTACGTGCCAGATATCACCAAATCAAAATGTATGAACCTGACATTCCAAAGACAGCCTTTTGCACCCACCAAGGACACTACGAATCTTGACCAATGCCCCAGCAACTTTCCAATGTGTCATGAACTCCACATAGGAAACTGATGGAGTTTCAACCAGGGGACTATGTCTATTTGAAGATCAGATCGCATAGACAAACCTCCATGCCAACCAAACTGCACCCCAAGCTATCAACTAGTTATTATGGTCCTTATAAAATCCTCAAGATTGGAGTTGTGGCATATAAATTACAATTACTAGCAGAAGCCCGAATACATCTGATATTCCTCATATCTCAAATTAAAAAGGCATTGGGAAACCACACGGTGGAAGCAAGTCTACCAACAGAGTTGCAAACTTCACAGGAGCACTACCAACCTATGCAGGTTTTGAACCGCCGGGTGATCACACAAGACAGGACTGCAGTACCGTAAGCTCTCATTCTCTGGCAGGGACAACAACCCAAAGATGCGACATGGGAAGACTCAACCATCATCAAGACTCAATTTCCAGACTTCAACCTTGAGGACAAGGTTGTTTCATAGGAGGGAGGTATTGTTAGACCTCATGAACCACAAGATTCAAATAGGACTTTGAAAGTGTGTTATAGGTAAAGGGGTAAAAATAGGAATTAAACATATTTTATCCTTTGGCCTATTAGTTAGGATTTCTGTAGAAGGGAGCTAGTTTTCTATTGTAAGAGATAAGGGTGGATTGTTAGTTTGTAACAGAAGGCGCTTACACCAACACTCTTTAAATAGGGCATCTATTTAGGAAGAGGCAGGGATTCATTTTTTTGTTAGATACAAACTGGATAAATTCCAGTGTGATCCAAATATTTTCCTTTGTGTACTTGTCTTTTTTTTTTTTTTTTTTTTCTTTCTGAAAATCAATAAAATCTAGAACGAATAAATCACTATTGCTTTCAAACATTACAGAAATCCTAACAAACTAAACAAAGCTATGTTCATAAACCTTGTTAGCAAGCACTTAAAAGCAGGAGAGGGGAAAAAAAATAAGAGAGAGAGAGACCCAGCAAACAGCTCAATGCAGCTGCTTTCCCTTGGAATATGAACTTATTGGAAAAAAAAAAAACCGCATCTCTGCAAAGCTGAATCAATAAGAGAAGCCCAAATTTTCGAACCTTGGAAGAAAAGGCAGTCTAACTCGTAAGAGCCATAGCATACCAGATTAATACCTTGAGACAAAATGCTATATTTCATTTTTTTTTTATATATTAATTCAAATGGAATGCAACATCCGAAATTACATCTTTGGGAGCACAATGAAAACCATCAAATGGAATGAAAAGACATGGTGTTTGGTAACTGAATAGGAAGAACAAAAATATCAAATGTGAAAGTAGACTTTTCACTAAAATTATAGAAATTATAACATACGTTCACTGCTTGGAGATACGTGCCATGTTTCTCCATGTCTTGAACCTATGCCTTTAAAGAACCTCTCCTCCCACTTGTCTCCCCATTTTGTTCCAAGCTCAGTTTCAGCCCATTTATCTGTCCTGAGGAAGTGTAAGCACAAGGGGAAAAAAATCAGAATGAGAAATGAAAACTCAGGCTAAAATTATGATAACTCATAAATAATCCCCCTCATATCCAAAGAAATAAACAAATTACAATTATATAGGAAGCAAGAAAGGAAAAAAGAACAATTATGGCAAACTAAAAATTAAAACATTGTTGTGGTCTTGAAAAATGTATATTCCCTTCATTTCTATTTAATTATCAGTTTTTAATAAAATTTTATTTATATTTATTTGTCGTTTTCAAAGTTCAAAATAACATTAATGACTTCGTAGTATCCATTGATATTATCATAAATCAAAATCAATCTTATACCAGTGAATAACATTTTATAGGATAAAATTTCACAAAATCCACTGTAGGGCTAAAAGTCTGAAGTACATCATGCATGTCATGCTCATTAATTTCAAGTTAATTCACATTCACCAATATACTAAAACTAACTTATACTATGATCTCACAAATAATGAAGATATCCACCATTGATAATATATTTGTAGTTATTTAATATTTTAAAATTTAGAGCAAACAATCAAAATATAATAATTCAATGGTTAGATACATTAAATCATTCTATAATGTTATTTAAGATTAGATGATATAATTGTGCCAATTTTTACACCGATGAAAATCAGTTCTCACTCAACAAATCACACAATTGTTCTCCGAGAAATGAATAAGCTATTTTGAAAAAATAAAAATACCTAGTACACAGCAACATGAAATTGTAAATGACAGTTGAGGAAATCCAGTAGATGGGAAAATCAGAATATGTACCATTTGAGGACAGACCCTCTCCCATCATAATTTTCTCCCCACTTTTCCCACCATGATTGTTCATTCAGTCTACCATACTTATGTGCCCCTTTCTCAGTCCAGCCTTTAGCATCATATTTTTCCCACCTAACCAAATTGAACAGAGACAGAAATTTTAGATGCATTATACACATTAATAATGCATACTGAAAACCAATCCCCCTCCCGAACTTACCATTTCTCATACCATCCAGCATTTTCAGTCCCTGATTTTGCTTGTTTTTGTGCACTCCTTTCTATTCTTGCTATGTTACTGCAAATTTAAACATGCAACACATTGTGTAAAGAATTTACAGGCTTTATCTATTCACAACAAGCAGAGAAATAAAGTAATAACCTCCATTCATCTTGATGAAGATTTTCCTGCCACGTTTCCCACCAAGAATCCCCCTCAGAATTTCTACCAGACTTCTCTACACCTGCAAGAGCTTATAAAATGAATCAAATGCACTAACAAGTCACAACCTTTAGATTTATTGGAGATTCCACATTGTCTAGTGATTTGACCAAAATAGTGTATATAAGTAGGGGGCAACCTTCACTTTTTGAGCTATATTTTAGGGTTGAGTTATGTCCAAACCCAAATTCTAAGAATATTATTCAAGAGTCTAACAATAATGATGCAACAACCTTGTTACTCAACATTTACTCAATCCCGTTATATGATAATGATAGTTTATTCAGACAAAGTTTAATGAAGTTCATGCTATATAATGAGGGGGGGGGGGGATTTCAAAGGACAATTTTAGCATGAAAAAGTCTTGTGAATTTTAATTGATTTTAATAAACTTTGTAGGTGACTTATATTATTTTTTTTAGAAAACTTTTAAAACTTAAATTTTAATCAAGACTTTGTAATTTAGATTTCAATGGATTTATATAATAAATAATAAAAAAAAGTAAAATCAACACAAATTTTTTATCTTGTGACAAATAATTGTCTTTATCTTTTGACATAATTTACTTTAATATCCTCTTAACTAACATTTCTTTACATATCTAAAATTATAATAGCCCTCCATGCATTATCATATTCTCTTTCATGCACTTGAGTCTAAACAATACGTTTAAAATTATGGTCTACATTAACTAGTAGTATTAAGGATGAAGATTCATACACTAATTCAATTGAAAATTCATTAAAACAACATTCTTTGCGAAGAAAGTTATTTAGTGCTATATGCTAATACAAGTTCAATTTGTGTCTTTAATAAAATTAGTGGCCCAGACTTAAAAATTGTGAACCGTAATTTAAAAATACTAAATATCCTCTCAATCACATTTTTTAATAATGCATGACATAAATTGAAAACTTCATTTTCATTTTGCGGGTCAATACTATGACCTGCAAAGTCTTTTTAATATATGTTTCAAAACTTTATATTTCAATATTAGATTTTATTAAAAATAAATGGTTAAATTTTAATATTTAAAAATTTTTACAACAGATAATATTTAATAATACAAAAGTCATTTTAAATATTTAATAATTAAAAAAACAAATATTGATAAATTATACATCAATTGATAGATATGAAAAAAAAAAAAAAGAAGAAGAAGAAGAGATAAATGAGAGAGATGAGTAAAAAGAGAAAGAGAAAAGAGATAGAAAAGAAAGAGAGAGAAAGAGAAATAGAAACAAGAAAGGCAAGAGAGAAGGTGAGAGTGAAAAAAATATGAGATGAAGAAGAAAAAGAAGAGATAAATGAGAGAGACGAATAAAAAGACTTGAATATTGAAACAGAATGGCCAAAAAGGATCAGTTTTACTGATCTGTATATTTCCTTATATAAAGAGTGATTAGGGTTACAAGAAGAAAGAGGCTACAGACTAGGCCACTGAGTCTAGAAGCCTAAGCAATTACACCAGGAGAAAAGACCAATCAGAAAAATACAATAAATATTTAAATAAGAAGAAGCTTTCTAAACAAGCTATTCTAACACTCCCCCTCAAGCTGGTGCAAACAGATTGTATGAACCGAGCTTGGAACATAAAATTGAATTCGAGGCCCCCTTAATGACTTAGTCATAACATCTGCAAGTTGTTCACTGGAATTGACAAATTCAGTAATGATTTCCTTGGACAGCAACTTCTCTCTCACAAAATGACAATCAACCTCTATGTGCTTGATTCTCTCGTGAAATACTGGATTGGAAGCAATGTGAAGAGCGGCTTGATTATCACAATACAATTTCATTGGATGATTCTCACAAAATCTTAACTCTTGAATGAGTTGCTTAATCCATATAAATTCACAAGTAATCAAGGCCATAGCTCGATATTCAGCTTCAGCACTAGATCGAGCAACAACATTTTGTTTCTTACTCTTCCAAGAAATGAGATTTCCACCAAGGAATACACAATATCCAGTAGTAGAACGCCTATCTATAGGACATCCTGCCCAATCAGCATCACAATATCCAGAAATTCGATTATCTCCTTTGTCCTCATATAGTAATCCTTGTCCTAGAGCCTTTTTGATATATCTAAGAATACGCAGAACAACATTCCAATGATCAACATGAGGAGCCTGCATGAACTGACTAACAACCCCTACTGCAAAAGAGAGATCAGGTCTTGTGATTGTAAGATAAATGAGTTTCCCAACCAATCTCCTATACCTTTCTGGCTCTATGAACGATTCACCTTGATCAACCATTAACTTTTGGTTAGGATCCATAGGACTATCAATGGGTCTGCAATCTGTCATGCTTGTTTCCTCCAAAATGTCCAAAGCATACTTCCTTTGAGAGATCACAATGCCTTCCTTATTGGGCAACTTCAATACCAAGAAAATATTTTAGATGTCCTAGATCTTTGGTCTGAAAATGGCTAAACAAATGTTTCTTCAATTGAGAAATTGTAGCTACATCGTTTCCTGTAATCACTATGTCATCCACATAAACAATCAAATAAACACATCTCCCAGGAGAAGTATGACACTAGAAAACTGAGTGATCTGCTTCGCTTCTTTTAAGCCCAAAGTCTTGTACAACATGACTAAATTTTTCAAACCAAGTTCGAGGAGATTGTTTGAGGCCATAAAGAGATCTTCTCAATTTACAAACTAAACCAGACTCCCCCTGAGCAACAAATCCAGGAAGTTGCTCCATGTAAATCTCCTCCTCCAACTCACCATGAAGAAAGGCATTTTTAATGTCTAATTGGTGGAGAGGCCAATGACGAATGGTTGCCATAGCAAAAAAGAGACGAATAGTAGGAAGCTTGGCCACAGGAGAGAAAGTGTCACTATAGTCGAGCCCATAAATTTGAGTATACCCCTTGGCTACCAATCTGGCTTTGAGCCGATCAACTGTACCATCAGGGCCAACTTTAATAGCATAGACCCATCTGCATCCAACTGGTCGTTTCCCAGGAAGGAGGGGAACGAGCTCCCATGTACCACTATGCTCCAGAGCTTGCATTTCAGCAAGCATGGCTTGTCTCCATCCAGGATGACCAAGAGCCTCATGAACATTTTTAGGAATAGTAAGAGGACATATAGAAGTGACAAAGGAGAAATACAAGGGAGATAATTGATGATAACTCAGAAAATTATAAATAGGATGAGGATTGCGAGTAGGGGCATCTGATGGTGAAGGACAAGAATCTGGTGACTCCGCAGGTAAGGTCAGGCCAATTTGTTGTGGTCAACGGTGATATGTAACAAGAGGAGGGGGGTTAGCTGGAATAGGAGTAGTGGTGGGGATAAAAGACTGAGTAACCTCTTGGTCATGAATTGAAAGTTGAGGTGGAAAGGAATCATGAGAACAATCTGGTAGCACTTGTTGGATTGAGAGAGAATCATGAGTGGTACATGAGAAAAAGGGAGTTTGTTCAAAGAAGGTGACATCTGCAGACATGTAGAATTTTCTGGTCTCTGGGAAATAACATTTGTACCCTTTTTGAAGACAAGAATAGCCTAAGAAAACACATTTAATTGCTCGAGCAGATAATTTATCCAAACTAAGAGAGACATTATGGACAAAACATGTACACCCAAAGACCCGAGGTGAGACATGAAACAAGGATTCCTTTGGATAAATAATGGAGTAAGGGATTTTATTTTCAAGAGAAGAAGAGGGCATCCTGTTTATTAAAAAACAAGAAGAAAGATGCATCACCCCAATGATGTACAGGAACATTTGCATTGAGCATTAGGGTGCGTGCAGTCTCTACAAGGTGCCTATTTTTCCTTTCTGCTATTCCATTTTGTTGGGGTGTATGTGGACATGTAGACTGATGCAAGACACCCTGTGAGGATAGGAAAGAGGATAATTCAGAAGAGAAATATTCTTTTGCATTGTCACTTCGAAAAATTTTAATTAGTCTCCCAAATTGGTTTTTGATCTCATTGAAGAAGGACATAAAAATAGACAAAAGCTCAGAACGATCTTTCATTAAATATACCCAAGTACATCGAGAAAATTCATCAATAAAGGTTACAAAATATCTGAAACCAAAAGATGTTACACGACTTGGACCCCAAATATCAGAATGAATGGTGGTGAAAATCGAGTTACATCTTTTATCAGTTTGCTTGGGAAAAGACGACCTAACATGTTTGCCTAATTGACATGATTCACAACCTAACTCTGCTAATTTTTGAAGACTAAGGACCAAAAGTTTCAACTTGGATAGACTTGGGTGACCCAAACGATCATGCAAAAGCTTGGGTGACAAAACAGCAACACAAGATACAGGTGGTTGCATTTCAAAATAGTAGAGACCTCCAGATTCATGTCCTGCGCCAATCTTCCGACCCGTACCACGTTCCTGAATAACAAAAGATTCAGCATTAAAGGTTACTGAACAATTTAAGGATTTGGTTAACTGGCTTAAAGAGATTAAGTTGAAAGGACAATTAGGGATAAACAAAACAGAGTTTAAATTTAATGAGGAAGATAGAGAGACTTGACCGATTCCTTTAGGAGCAATTCTGGATCCATCTGCTAAGGTAATAAGGTGAGGTGATTTAAGTGGGGACATGGAAGAAAACATAGAATTATTACCAGTTATGTGATTAGAGGCTCCTGAATCAATGATCCATGGACTTGGATTTGCAGTTGAATGAGAAATACAAGTTGTAGAAACAGTAGTGGTAGAGGAAGATTGAGCTTGATTCATAGATTTCCATTGAAGATATTCCTGATAGTCATCTTCAGAAACCTTCATCTCAGATTTTCCTAATTTCTCAGACTTGGACAGATTTGCTATCTTCTCTGGAAAACCATGAAGAGAATAACAATTCTCTTGGATATGACCCATCCTCTTGCAGTATGAGCATTGAGGGCGATCACTTCTACCTCCTCTTCCTCCTCGATTTCCACGACCACCTCTACCCTGACTTGAAACCATTGCAGAAACTTCAACAATTCCACCCGAGTTTTCATTCTTCATTTCTGTAGGAACACGAAGAAGTCTGGTTATTAGGCTGTCCATTGAAGGAATCTCGTGGCCGGTCAGAATCTGGTCACGAACATGATTTAAGTCTGGGTGCAATGTTCTCAGGATCAGCACCATATATAGCCTATCAAGTTTCTTATTTATTCCCTCTAATGAATCATCTGTCAGGAACATTTTTAGTTCTTCTACAGCAGCTTGGGCTTCAGCAATGTGAGACGTCATTTCATGATTAATTTGTTTCAAGGATGCTATTTTCTGAGCAGCATCATATAACCACTGAATATCGTTTGCATAAATATTTTGAGCCTTTTTCCAGAAAGAACAACAAGTTTTGAAGGCTCTAAGGGTCCCTAAAATATTGGGCTCAACCGACTGCCACAACACAACACATAGTTGAAAATCAAGCTTCTTCCATTTAGCCTGACGTTCATCTGAACCCTCAGCATTTTCCATTTCTAAGTGATCGTGGTACCCTTGACCAAGGAACCATAGTTCCACAGAGGCAGCCCATGATAAATAATTTTTTCCATTGAGTTTCTCGGTGGTTATGGTCGGAGTGCCAGAAATAGACAAAATAGGGCCTGGAGATGCCATAAGAAGATGGGTCGTGCAACAGGTATTAAGAGAGAAGAACCGAAGAAGAGAAACGCAGGCCCACACCTTAAATAGTGGTCAAATCACAAAACTGAGTCCAGAAATAGGCTCAGGAGGCTCCGACGAACAAGACGGTGGCAGAGTGAGGAAGTTCCGACCAACAGCGAGCGGCGCATGAACAGTACGCGCTTGACAGAACCGGAGAGAGAAACGGCGCGTGAGAGCGCGTGGGGACTCTGACGACGCCGGAGTTGATGGGGTTAGGTCGCGCTTGACAAGGCACACCAAACCCTAGGTTCGCCGAAGTAATAGGATAGCGGCGGACGGCGGCGGACAGTGGCGGACAACAGAGCGGGATCGACCCGCTCTGATACCAACTTGAATATTGAAACAGAATGGCCAAAAAGGATCAGTTTTACTGATCTGTATATTTCCTTATATAAAGAGTGATTAGGGTTACAAGAAGAAAGAGGCTACAGACTAGGCTACTGAGTTTAGAAGCCTAAGCAATTATACAAGGAGAAAAGACCAATTAGAAAAATACAATAAATATTTAAATAAGAAGAAGCTTTCTAAACAAGCTATTATAACAAAAAGAAAAGGAGAAAATGAGATAGAGAAGAAAATAAAAAAGAGAAGCAAGAATAGTGAGAGAGAAGAGAAAAAAAAAAAAAAGAATGTGAGAGAGAAGCAAGAAAGGCAAGAGAAAAAAAAATAAAAGAGTAGAAATGGAAGGGGAAAAAAAGTCATGTGAAATCTCAAAGGTTTTGATGAGATTATTTGATGAATGAATTACATATAAATTATACTAAAAAGTCTCACAAAATCTAGTATTCAAAATAATCCATTGAAATCTTTATATTTTTGAATACCAACAAACTTTTTTTAAGTAAAAAAAAATCTTAATTGAATATTACTAGATTTTGGTAGACTCTTAAAAAAATATTGATTGCCTGAATTGAATACCACCAAATTTTAATGTATTCTTAAAAAAATCCTAATTGTCTTGATTGAAATTCACGACTTTCTTTATAATAAAACGTCTTTTAAAATTCATTGAAATCCTAATCTAATACACCCTTTAAATGTACACACAAGTAAAGAAGAACTTAAATTGACAAGCTAGCACAGCTTGCTTATCTTGTGAGAAAAGGGAAGAACAATGTATCGAATTACAGCTTAGCTATCCCGTCATTTATTAAGAAGATCATTCATATCAAGGTTATCAAATCCATATTCAAATTGTGAATTATCAAGTCAATTCTTGAATTGTGATCATAATTTTTATTGAATTGTAAGATTCAAAGACAATGAAAAGTAACTTAAAATATCATATAGATGATATATAATGTTCAATGCAATAATTTTAAACTAGAAATAGAAAAAAAAAAAACCTTAACCTACGTCTCATAAAACAAAATCATCGGTTATATCTAAGCTTGTGAAGCCCCTATTTTGGAAGAATGGAAACAAAGTAATGAAACAGGCAAATAGAATGCATGCATTGCATGATTAAATGACAAATAAAGTGGTGGAATAATCAAATACAATAATTTCATAAGGGCTCTTTTAATTCCTTTTAATTATACATTTAAGCTTATATGACTTTTCAATTTATTTCATGAGAATTGGTGAAAGAAAAGAAAAAGTAATGAATCATTAAATCATATGACCCGTATCTATGATACAACAATGTACCAATCCATTCATGTATTGTAGATTCAAGGTCATTTTGGATTCATCTTATGATAAGAATAGATAGCTAGCCAAATCTCATCAAATTGTAATGTTCTAAGTTTTATCAACAAGTGCAAGGTTGGCAAATAGAACAAAACTTCCCCCCCCCCCCCTTTTTTTTTTTTTTTTTTTAATTTAGGAGATGGAGGTGGCATGGAATAACTATCTAGTTTGAGTTAAATCATGGCAAACTTCAAGGAACTCACTTGAAAATTCTGAAAGAAGTTATCTTACAAGGAGATCCATCTTTATGTAGAATACATTCAGTAGTGAACGCTCTACATGATAATAGGATGGGATTTAGCTAACTTATGCTGGTCTGCTGGGAGACAAGGATATGGAGGAGGTTCATACTGCTATATAATGTATATTGGAGGAGTTTCAAGATGCATTCCAAGAACCACAAGTGCTTAACCAAAGGCTTTCCATTTTGGGCAATTTCATAATCCAAATGTCATTTTTACATGTACATATAACCATAGACCAACCAAATGTTATTAACAATTAGTTAACTTGATAAATTTCTAAAACTATGCTAGATGTACTAACCAAATGTTTGAGCAAGGGTACAAAGGTAAAAGTTTGAACTCTGTACCCCTCAAACTATATTTCCGTCAGGATAATAATGTACCCAAACACACACCAACTACACTAAGAAGTTTGTAACTCAGCGCAGAAGTGATTCTGCACTGTCCCCAAACACATACAAACAATTCTTAAAACTATACAGTAATTTCAGGCTGATATATCAAACATAAAGGAAGAAACATACCTAGCTCCTTATATCCGGTCCAGTCACTCTTCTCCCACCACTGTCAATTAGATCAATAAAGCCAATTAAATGAATCCACCTGGGGTGTAATACTGATAACATTATGAATACTGTTGATCTAACATAAAAAAGAAACCATTTGGGAAAACACTTGCTTGAGTTACAAAAAAAGAAAAGAGTTTTGTTAATATCAGTCCTTGGGCCTGATTTTAAGAAACTAAAAGTAGGTTTTTATAAAAAAGGAAAGTATTTATTACATCGGAAACACAAAAAGTGCAATAAATGCCTTCCGCTTTTAATTGCTTAAAATCAACCCTAATGAATGATGTTAACAAAACCAATAAAATACCAACCTACTATATCGCCAAAAAATCACCTTGATATCGTACCTGATTCAGCTACAGAAGAATTACATCCATATTTTCCACAAATAGTTCAAAAATAAGAACAAGTAATAATTTACAAGCAAAGGAAAAAATCATATTATGACTGTTGATAATCGGATTTTATAAATGATAAAAATATTGTATACAAAAGAGTTCTAAGATCTTTTCCAAGTAAGTTTTTGTGTGATGATAATCCAAGGATAAACAGAAATTTCCCTTGTCAGGAAGATGAGAAATTTTACAAGGTTACATTACATGGCACAAAATACATTTAAATTAAGAATAACATAACTTTCAAATTACAAGAGCTACTCCCAAACTTAAAACTAATTTTCTTTTTCTAGAAATATTCAAATACACTGCTCAATATTTTCAAGGTATGTGAAATGCTTACACATCAAGATGTTCTTGTTACATTCAAGAATACTTGCTATGCCAAGACCTTTATCTAAGCTACAATACTATTTAATCCAACTGGAGAGAAATTGCTCTAATCATCTGTTATTAAAAGCAAAAACAAGTATTCATCTATAAGTTTTCATCATTACTGTTTTTACCAGAAATCATATTTCAACAGACGGTAAGCACAGATCTCTTTATGATCTACGCTTTGGAAATTAAAATTACAACTTTTCATAGTCAAATAATTTCTTTAAGCAAACAACGATAATTTGCAGGTATCAAACTATATTATATCTGACAACTAGGCAAAAAAGATTTGGAAGATAGCTTTCATTCAAATTGAGTTAACATAAAATGCTGTCATAAATTTATTCCCACTTTTTATTTTATTTTATTTTTAAAGAAGTAGATTGGACATTCAAATATTAAGATTACAAAATACCGTTTCTTTCCATTCTGAGGAACCATCATGGGATTGACCACCCATTCTTGTCCATCTACATCTATATCCATTTTCACCCAGTTCTTCCCCACTTTCTCGATACCAGGTACTCCCATCTTCATTAGTGCCGGACTCATTAACATTTTCATTTAACAAGCTGATACCCCAGTCCTTCTCATTCGCGATACCAGTATCTGTAGGAACCAGTGAACACAAACAAACATAATATTTTAACATTCCATGACTGACCAATGGAAAACATCTACAAATGGCCATCATTAATATTTCAGGCAGGTATAAAGCAGTAAGGATAAAAATCAGAAGATACCTCGTTTGGGGGGCGTATCACGTGACTGTGGGCCAGAGTTTCTTGGGGTGCAACGAGGAAAGAACTTTTCCTGCTTCAGAAATGATCTGTTGCCATCATGGCATAAAGCAACATTAACCATTGAGATAAAAAAAAAAAAAAAAAAGACAGCTACCACCATAGGTTGTATAAAGTATAAAGAACACTCAATTAATAGTCAATGATATAATCTCTTCATCAAACCAAGCTTCTTTTATTTTCTCAAGAAAACTATGTGAAACTAGAAACCATAAACAGAGAGGAAAAATGAAAAGCATGCTTCATCCTTCATTGCTCTTAAATGTAGGTCAGAACATTTGAGCACCATGTTATTATTCACATATAAGATAAACTCCTTTCAAGCATGTATAACAATTCAAACCGAATTGACCTATTTAAGTGCACATGACGCCATCAACATTCACCATTTCTGTATTCAACTCAATATTATCAAAAATTATTTAGCCTCGTAGGTCAATTGGCTTAACCTAATTAATAGTTCATGTCTCTAATAAGATTGATACATCATAATTCATACATACTGGATCCATGTGTATAAAAACACTCTCATCTCATACACACCAGAACATAGTCATCACCAGCAAAATGATAGAGGCTTCTTAATTAATTAACTATATTAATGATTTCGCATGCATTGCTGTTAAACACTCAACTCAACTCCCCAGGGAATCGCAAGATACTAATTAAGCCAAAATGATGGAGCAAGTAGGTTATCTTATCAGTTATCACTAATGCACTAACATTACAAATCGCGATGAGAAACCTTACCAAAAACAGATCCAATATCATTAAAACTGCACATTACACTATTACTTTCCTTTTATTTTTCAATTTTCATCAATATATAGATTCTAGAGAAGATGGAAAGTTCTGAGACATAATTGTAGAAACGAATTTTCAAGCAAGAAACATTAATTAGAAACGTACGGTGGAGAAGCGAAAGGCATTGCGGCAGGGGAGGCTTGAACCCTCACTCTGAGAGTGTGAGGGGGTTTTTTGGGATCGAGCCTCCATTCCTCGTTCTTATCGCCGCCGTTGGCAGAACCACTGGTTCTGCGAATCGGAGTGACCGAGTCGGAACAGCAACAGCGTACTACGCCATTAGCGAGTGGAACTCGATCAGCGTGGAAGAAGAGCTTTCTACGCTTTCTGGGAAGCAGAGCGGCATTGAGTCGCCTTATTCTGAGCTTGAAATCAAACGGCGTCGTTGAGAAGCCTCTGGAACACGCCGCCATTAATGAATGCCAAGTGACATTGACGAAGCAGGTGCAGTGTGTGAGTGCGCTTTGACTTCTCTCTCAGTGAGTGCTTAGATGATAGCAATGCAGACGAAATTGGAAATGGAAGAATATTTGTGGAGCGATGGGGAATGTGAGTGAGGAAATTCGTTGCTTAGAATTAGAAGCATTTGATCTGAGAGAGAGAAGGGGATGATGGATGGGAGGAGTGGTAAAGAGGGGAAGTGAGAGAGAGCGATGAGATCAGATCCGGGCTGGACTTCGATCATGGTTCGAATCGCGAGATTTACTCGGATATACATATACACGTGAGCACATGGGCCCCACCACCATTTGTGACCGCTATTTCACTTTCTACCGCCACGTGTCACGTATTCAACCACCTTCTGTATCTTTGTTGGATGAGGACCAGGAACTCACGCTATTATTGTATTTTTATTATTTAACTTGTGATTAAATTAAGTGGGTTAAAATTCAGAGAGCAAAAATGAATTTGTTAGATAAATTAAAAATATAGTAAGTCTAGGACTTTAAATTAAAATTAAGTTAAAATTGGGGGTTACTAAATTTAAATCAGTATATGTAAAAGCAATAAAAAAAATACAAATAAGGAACTAAATTTTAATATTAAAGAAGTGATCTGACTCAATTAAATTTTTTTTTAAAAAAATTTATATTAAAGAATAAGGCGTTGTTTTTAAAATTTAAGGCCAAAATTTATATATATATATATATATATATTATAGACATTTTATATTTTTTTAATTAAAATTAAATTTTATAATAAAAACTTATGTAATAAAAGTTAACAATGTTTATTTTTAATTATTATTAAGAATCTGCAATATGATATGTAATATAGGAATGTGCAACATACATGATAATCCCACAAATAAAATAGGGAGTTGCTATGGTATCTTTTAAATTAAGTGTATTTATTTTTTTTCTTTTCACTTTACCTTTTTCCCCTTCTATATTAAATGATGTGTTATTGACAAATAATAATTTAAGTAATTAACTTACTTTTTTCTCACTATATTTTAGTCTAAATATTTTAAATCATTTTATAAAAATCAAAATAATTTTAAAAAAAACATCATAAAATTTTATTTGAAGTAGAAGAAGATTTTGTGAAATTTTTGTTTAATTTATCTCTCAAAATTTACATATAAGTGTGAAAATTTCTAATTTATTATGACTCATAATATATAAAAAAAAAATATCCTTAATAAATTCAAATATTTTTACATATATATATATATATTAAAAATTTGAAGAAATTAATAAATATAATCAAATTATTCTAAAATATTAAATATTCACTTCTTTTTCTTCTTTTTTTTTTTTATAAAGTAAATACAGTTTCAAAATCCTTTAAATTTTCAAGGATATCCTAGAATTTCTTAATAAGATAACGTGGCTGTAGTAAGATACCGACACGACAGAAAAGTAAATAACGTGGATTGAATCCATCCCCGTCGGAAAGCAAAAGTCTTCCCACCTTATCCACACCCCATCCCCAAGCCACAAGTCTAGTCTAGTCACTCAAAGTTGCTCGCAGCCTCGGCACGTGTCTTTCTAATTTGCCACGAGCACACGTCAAAGCACCCGTTGACCATGAGAATAGGAAATGGTGGATAAGAAGCTGACTCAACCCGAGTGCACGCTGACGTGGTACGAGAAAGATGCACAAAATTCGTGGTGATTAAGCTCTCCACGTGGCACCCAAAACAAAATCATCTAACAAGTCTGATTGCTCCTTCACGAGGAGACCAAACGATGCTATCTGTGTTTTATTATATTAAATGATCCATTTGAGAGCCAGAACAAAAAAAGGCGTAGCAGCAGAATTTACTCTAGCCACCCACTTCACTAGCTGATATGGAATTGATTGAATAATACTCTCTTTAAACTAATACTTTCAACAATCACAGAAGCCGTGAGTTTGTCAAATTCTATTGTTAGATTTCCTTTTGCCAATGCCTTGTTGCCAAGACTTTGAAGAGTAAAATCCAAATGATCAAATGTTATATTCCCCACCACAGACGCACGCCAACTACATGGACAGCAAATGATTTCCAATATGATATGATCATTTCGATGCTCGAGTTTCGCACTTGGATAGGTCTCGATAACAATTCAGATTCAGTAGCTGTATGTTATGTGGATCAAACTAATTACACCACGATTGATGAAAATCAGACATCCACAATGTCACATCATCCACTAATTTGACTAACACAAAACGTGTAGCGCTCAGCCTCACCATAAATTAAAGAACTAGTTATAAATTAATAGAAAACATTCTGTGAACAATACTGTAAAATAGAACAAAAACAATTATCACCTTTATTTTGATATATATATATATATTAAGATATTAAGATGTATACAAAAATAAATAAATAATATATAATATTTTGATATTGATTTTTTTTATAATTTCAACTAATTGAAGGAAAAGAAAGATAAAGAGAAGAAAAAAAAAAAAGATGCAAGAAAAACTGATAAATGTAACAAAAAAAAATTGGTAACAATAAATGTAGCAAATAATATGATAATAGAAAATAAAGAGATAAGAAAATGGAATATAAGTAAGTTGTAAGAAAAATTGGATATATGAATATATGAACTCATAATAGAACCATAAATTAATTGGCAAGGGGCGGCAAAATAAAATAAGGGAAGAGGTTTCACAACTCGGGATACAGAAAGAACTCGTATGAACTAGTAGTTTCATAGATTATACAATGAAGCCATGAATTACATAACATGGATGTCAAGTCAAAGAATAAGCTACAAACACAATCCAGGCTAAATCAATTCAACGTTGAAAGGTTAAAAAGAAATATCAACGCTTTCTCGTCAAAGATGTAATGCACATGTAACATCAAACTTGTTCAGCTTCGTCAAATCTACCAACAGTGGCATGATGCAATAAAGACATGGGTCTTTCACTCGTCTGTTCATCTCGAGACCCGAGAGGCAGGAAATTACCGACTTACACAAGAAGATGATAAATGATAGCAACATGGAAATTGGTGTTGAACTTCATTTTTTGGCAATGAAAGGCTTTACTGATTCTACAACAACCTGTTTTGAAAATGAAATGTTAAATTAATGAGATGATTATTGATGAATGTAGAGAAGAAAAATGCACGAAACATCCATCGAATTGTTATCTATGCTTTAAGAAAGTCACTGATTTAGATTGTCATTCTACCCAATCCAAGGTCTAATCACGGGCAGATAATAAAACAGGCAACTATACTTTTGCTAATAAATATAAGTTTTTAACAATGTAGTATGATCTTATGACCATATGTATGCTATTGGATTATTGGCAACCCTACCAGCAGGAAAATTCATTACCCAAACGGAGTGTGTAACAGTAAGATATAAGAAACTGAGCAAATTTGACACCCAAAGAAGAATTGTTTTATGTATATTTTTCCATGAAAAGAATTATCATCTACCATTGAGAATTTGCCTAAAGATTTAGTTGTCAACTTACCCTTCCATCATAGGATAATGATGCAAAGATCCATGGTTCACGAGAACTCCACGTGAGCCCTGTAACATGAATAAAAAATTTCATAAAGGAGTCTATCTGCATGTTTGGAATGACATTTTGTTCACACATTAGAGCTAAAAAAACAACGTCAAAAATAGGCAAAAGCTGAAGCTATAATAATTTGCTTTTCTGGAATGTGGATCAAATTTGACATGATGTAATTTTCCAAACATGCCCTATAAAGATCATGGTTTAAAAAATTTGAACCTCTTACCATAAATGCTGTCTTCATAATCACTGTACGTATTAAGCAATGGATCAACCCATCGGGCAGTTGAATCTGTTTGTCTGCTAAAGAGTAAGTAGAGATGAATAAAAAAACTAGTCATAAAATAAAATGTAATATGAATAACTTAAGATAATAAGACGACCTTTCAGTTGTGAACTCATCATGATTTGTTGAGGCGAGCCACAAGTTGACAGTTGAATCTGTACCAGCACTCTGTAACATCAACATTCCACGACAAATAACTAAATATCCCCTTAACATGATAATTTAGTACACAAACTAACTTTCACCAACAAATGGACACCAGCAAGATATTTAGAAGCCGTTAAAAATGCATGTGCTTGTATGCATGCACATGCGAGTGAAGGAAAAAACTTCTCTATAGCAAGTTTATATCTAGCAACTAAGGGTGTATCCACTGTCAAATTTTCATTGTTTAAGATCACCATCCACTTTTAAAATAAAACAAGGATAGATACACCCTTGGTCCTTCACTTTAGAAACAAGGTTACGTCAAAGGAACTATATCCCTGTATATGTGTGTCAAAAGGAGAGACAGAGACACAGAGAGAGGAGAGGGCGAACCAAGATCATTCCATCATACTCTGGGTTACACTTGACAGTCCATGTCCTGGCAATATAAGTAATACAGACTGCCAATCAGATGTCTAAAAGAATAATATCAAATACTCCCCCTAAATCAGATAAGCAAAACAAATATAATTTTACCAAATTAAGGAAGTTAGTTAAATTCATTTAGTTTTCATGTTTTCATATAAAACATACATTACATTTTCTAAAATATTCTTAATCACATTTATTGTAAATAGTATTCTCATTTATTTTCTTGGGGTTATTTTTGGAATAAGAGTGTTAAATAAAGTTGAATAGGTTGAAATTTACTTATATTTCAGTCCAAATAATTTAAGCATCTCTTTCTTGAAGGGAGTAATATATTTTCATTTTAGACAGTTTTTAACGAAAAAAAATATTTACTTGTGCTTTAAAGGTATGGTTGTACATATGGAAATCCTTGAAAATAGAGCAGTTGTTTCCCTCTCTGCTTTTTTTTTTTTTTTGGTTTTCTTTTCTTTCATTTATTCACTAGATATTGATAGAAAATTGGGACATGGCACTAGGAATATGGCTAAAATACAAAAATCAGCTTTGCAACTATACATGGTAGGTACCAATGAGTATGTCCTGGAAGCTCTTGGATGGGAACTTTAGGTTTTCTTAGATCCCAAATGTGTATCCCAGACTCATGTTCTGCAGTAACCTGTACAAAACAATGAAACAGCAATTCAATTTTGTCAACATGAACAAAAGGTGGAAGAATACTACCATCTCAAAAGACAGTTGTTTCTGTAAACTCGATGAGTAATAGAAGTGAGAAAAATCATGCAATGCAAATCAAAGTATTTTAATATTTCAAAGACAAAAGCAAAAATAGTTAAATAATTGGTGAATTTCAAAAAATGTTTAAGAACACATATTATCCCAAAAGATATTATAAAAACCAGAATTAAGGGAAGGTATAAACATATATCATTATAATGAGGATAACAAAGTTCAACTCTTACAAGTATGTGCTGCTTTTGGGGATGATAATCAACACTGCATACATGGGAACACTCGACTGACATAGTCTTCCTGTGATTCAAAGAATCCTATCAGTAGACATGAAATTCCTGGGAGTACCAATTCAGACAAAAAAACTATTGGTTTCAGGGGATGTATATTCCTCTCCGAGCACCCCCAATCCTGAACTCCACATGAAACAAGTATTTGCTTAACCAAAAGGGAAAACAGTTGCAAATACATTAACTTCTAAAAATTATTGAATAATTTTTCAGGATGCCTAAGATCATATTACTGCATAATTCGAAGTTCAAACAAAACTAAACCAACTCCTTTATTTGGGGAAGAAAGGAACAAATGCAACCATAATATCACAATTTTGCTCAATGTGATGGAATATTATCATGCATCAACTATAATAAACCAGTAAAAACTGAATGATGTTATATGAACATTACATACTTCATTGTTCTGACATCCCAAAATTGGAGATATGATTCACAAGTTGCAGCAACGGAACTCACATCATGTGGATCCCATGCCCCTCCAGATAACTTGTGCAGCATACCAGCTGAATCTTGTGATTGTACCTGGGTTTGTTTGCATATATTGGGGCAGTGGATGAACTAAGTCAAAATCATCGAAAATTCCAGGCATTTACAAATAGTAGAGACCATAATCACACCAGTCTATGATTATTGGGAAGAAGCCAAATTCCATATCAACTAGAGATAAGGTAAATAAATAGTTTATAAGTAGGGGGACAACTCTCACCTCACAAGCGGATTCTATAGAGTTGAGTTAGGTCCAAACTCACATTCTAAGATGATTATTAAAGCCCCAACTAGATCTTGAGTCCTAAATTTCTGAACCACAGTTACATATGATATTATTTAACACCAACTTCCCAGAAAATTTTGTGGTGTTTGACTTGCAATGAAATTGGAAAGTAATATTAATATCGGATTTTCCAAACCCTTATAAGGGGACAAAATTAGATCCATTAGGGATGATATGTATGGTCTACTTCTGAATCACTTTTATCATCAACTTGAGCAACACAAATTTGTTTTGGGAAGTCCATTGACCTATATCTTCACTCATCATCAACCATTCATTTTCTATAATGCCTCTCATTCAAGTAACTTTATAAGATTCAATAACAAAAATGAACTGACTAATTGTTCACATATAACAAATAAAGAAATGTAAATTCTAAAATATTTTTGCAATTACTTTTGAATTATAAACACCAAGAGACCAGAGAGAAACTATGTGCTTCTTGGACGCACGAAACCAAATGATCATTCCTTGTTTACATTCCCATATAGTCATGTTTTCTTCCTCTTCCTATTTAAGGTTCATTTATTTGTTTATTATAACAAATTATGGTAACTTGAATAATGACTACATGTTATTTTCTACGGAAATGGGCTTCATGTGTGTAGTATGTACATATGCATTTTTTTTCAATGTGCTCGTGTCACAAAAGGTATACCATGCCATGAACTTCATACCTGTGCAGTTTTCTTTGAAACATCTAAATTCCACAAGTACAGGTTTTCCTCGTTAATGCTGATCAATTTATCATGCCTTCCAGATGGCCACCAAAGAATACTGTTTTGTGGTGAATATTTAGCAAGGAATACAAATCAATGTATCAAATTCAAAGTGTTTAATAAACATATAGTAAACAGGGAGATTATTAAAGATTAAAGAATAGGCTTAATTACATTCTATATTCCAATTTTGGGACCCAACTATTTTTACAGCAATCAAATCTCCCAAATTTTCTAATTGAAATTTCAAGTTCCTTGTCAATCTAGTATCCAGTTGCTTATAAAAGTTAGTGACATGACCAACGATTTACGTACATGACTTGACATTTTACTGAGTAAAGCACCTTAATGGACCCACTGGTAGCCTTAGTCTATTTAAATATATATCGTTTTTCTATACTTATAGATGTATCACTGAATATTTTATTTACATTGAGGATTTAATTAAGCTAAAATCACCGATGAGTTCATTAATATGTCAAATGTAAATTATTGGTCACGTCATTAACTTCTATTAGTAATTGAACGACATGCCAGTACAAGGATCTGATTTCTTTAATTAGGAAAATAGAGATTGATTGCTTCCAAAAATCATGGGGAGCAATCAGTCAATCACACACGTTGATCATAATAGAGGAACCAAAACTACAATTATGCCTAAATAATACAAGCAAATTTGCAGGATATAGCCAAAAGGGTAGTCCAGCAGTTTAAACTAGAAACATTACACCTTGCTTAATATCAGCATTTGACTATGTTCCCCACATAAATAGTTTCACATCTTCGGATAATCATCTAAAAATCCAGACAATGACATAGTACATCCGAAACATTGTTCCAGAGTCCAAAGCAAAAAGTCTGCATAAGGAATTGCAAACTCACCATTTAATCTTCCCAGAATCAGTGTCAAGCGAGGTGATTCTCTCTAGCTGAGGTGAATTCAACTCGCCATATAACTCGGGGATCTGCCATATTGCTGCCCCATACGTTTCACCTTTAAGAACATAAAGGCAATCAGAAGTGTTAAAATGATGCACAAGAAGCACAAACTATCTCAGTATACAGTGTGAAAATTTCTCAAATACGGTTGAACATAGGCATGTAAAAAGCTAAAAGAAGTGGTTGATTACCGTTAGAGTAGACGGTTGAAAAGATCCGTTGATCAAACGGACAAGAGACAAGGTCCCAGATCTCGTTTGGGTGAGAGAACAATCCCTCGCAGAACAATTCGGTTCCACTCGAGGAAAGCCGAATCAGATGCACCTATGATGGAACGATTCACACTCTATAAGGATCAAACGATAATTGGAGCGCGAGAAAGCGAGTTATGTACCTCATTTTCCTCTTTGAGGCTGAGAGTGCCAGCGAGGAAGCTAGTGTGATCCGTGTCTGCCTTCACATCCGATATGCATCTAGCCTATAACATTAGAGAGTATAAGAAAGGGAATAATTACTAATTAGATCGATGAAGAAAAATTGTGAGGGTTTTGTGGGTTGGACTTGGACCTGATATTTTAGACCGTATCCGATGCCTGAAGATGCAGCTTGCATTGCTATTTCTTGGACGCGGAAACTATTACTACACCGTGCGCTACCTCAATGAAGAGTTGCTCACACACTTTACAGAGAGAGCACAGTTGAACCCGGAAATGACTTTAGTGCAGCTTCCTGTTTTTTTTTTTTTTTTCTGTAGCCGTGTTTTGGGCCAGACTCGGCCATTTGTAGCATTATTATGGGTTTTTAGCGGAGCACTATTTAACAAAGCCCATCAAGCATTGCCGGCCTCTTCCTTCAAATAGGGCTTCCCCGTTTATGTATGCAAAATATCAATAATTATGGATGACGGAGTTTTTTCACGTGTTTGGCTTCATGTTGAAATCTCCCTTATTAAATATTACATTAAATACTACATGATGGAGACACTTTGTACATTTTATAATTATATACAGATAAATATTAGAAATTATAAAAGATATATAAAAAAAAAAATTTACATGGTATAAAGGTCTACTAAAAAGTAAAGACCAAAAGGGTGGTTACTAAAATGTATTCCTTTATAATATTTATAGATTGTTTTTTTTTTTGTAAAGATAAAAAAGATTACAAAGATGATCGCAATGAGAATTGAACCTAGGTCTTCATGCTTCTAACTGCCCCAACCCTTCCCCACCCACCCACCCACCCACCCTAATGGTTATATTTATAGATTGGTTAACATAATTATAAATAAACTTATGTATATTTTAGTTTTATGGTTATGAATAAACTGAGTTTAAAGTAATTCACTTTAAAAGAATTAACCGTTGATATATGTGTTTACATAATTTTGCAAGGTTAAATATTTTTTTTAAGTATTGTGTAAATTTTATCTCTCAAATTTTAATTAACTAATTTTATTTTTTTTTAAGTATTGTAGTTATCAATTTTAGTCTTTTAAATTCTAATTGAATAACTTTAATCTTTCTATATTGTAATTGTATAATTTTAGTTATTCAAGTAAAAATTACATATATTATTGATTTTAGTAATAATATTATATATATATATATTAGATTATATATATATATATATATATATATATATATGAAAATAATAGTATACGTAATTTAAATTGGTCCAAAATTGTATAATTGTGATACTTGATGAATTAAAATTATATTATTAGAAATGAAAAAAAAAATTAATTAGATATTTATAGATAAAATAAATTTTAAATGGATAATTAAATAAATACTCATTTAATAATGGAACAAGGATGAATTATAAGGTACTTATATTTGCAAGTATCTACACTTTAAAAAATTATAAATATTCTTAATTATATATAAAGTTGTTTAGTTAAATTTAATTTTACACTAAATGTATGTGTCATAATTATTAATTTATTTAGTACAAATATATGTTACAATTTTTTTAATATAAATATATGTTTTAAAATTATTTAATTTAACTTTTATTTTATTTCTTACTCTTTTATTTAAAATTTTACATTTTCTCAAATATTTACTGGTATTTGTGGATAGCCATAAATATATTAAAAAAAATTATGAATACCCACTAACTCGCGCTTAATGAGGGTAGGTAATGGGAAGCTAGTAGCTAGTATTTACTTCATCTTGCTATCATTTCTACATATAATTATAATACTTAAAGACTAAAATTACTAAATTAAAAATTAAGAAATTAAAATTAAACAATTGTAATTCTTGAGAAACTAAAATTGCTTAATTAAAATTTTATGAAATTAAATATCATAATTACAGTATTTAAAAATTAAGAACATAATTAAACTAATCATATATTTATTAGAATATAAATTGGTGATTTTCTTGTTAACAATCTTACAAGTTTTAGAGAATTCAAATCAAATAACTTACATATAACTTTAGTTAGTTAGTTTATTTAAAAATATATATACATTTTTTAAAAAATGTATATCATTGCAAAATAAAATTTTAAATAAGAGTTTAATCTAACCTTAAAAAAACATTTATTTTTCATTTAAAAAGTATATCGAATAAGCCAACCACTTATAACCGAAGACTTGAAAGATGCAAGTTATAAACTTTAGGAATAAGAATAAAATTACTCTTGTATTTCCGTGAAGGTACATAAAAAAAATCTACATTTTTTGTAAATACATGGTGCCAAAGCATCACTAACACTAATACATGGTGTCAAGGTCAGGAGTTCGAATTCTGCCTTGTGTATGCAGCCGTGTTAAATCTTGGGGCCAGTTATCTCACTTTTTGGGATTGGTGCCTCCAACATAGTGAGGAGATTAGTTACTGCTATCGGCCGTGAATATTCCAGGAACGAACAAAAAAAAACTGAAATAATAACAATCACGATAGCATAATTAAAATTTTTGAAAACATTTTTCATCAGTTCCTTTGGAACAAATATAGAATATCATATATATGTTTAATCGATGCAGTTCAATCGATAATCGAAATAAAAAAGTAATTTTTAAAATCATTTCCAAAATTCATTTTAGCTCTCTCATCCTCTCATTTTTCTCTTCAAAATTTAGTGTGAATCTTTTTTAACAACGTCGACAGTGTCATAAGCATGTTAGACAATTTTTTCTTATAATTTTGTCATCATTTAAGACTTTCAACGATATTTATGATCTCAGACGACAATCATTAAGAGCATCTCCAATGGGAGTTGCTTATAAACAACTCTAAGTGTGTCATTTTCAATTTCATTCTTCCCTTATTTTTATTTTTCATTTTGTCTTGCCCTTACAATTAACCCATTTCTACCATTGTTGGTTTCATTTTTCGTTTTTATTTCATATTGTTTAATTTTCATTTTCATTTATTTCTACAAATTTGTTTAACTTTCATTTTATTTTTCTGCTACCGATGAGATTGTTTGTTTGAGTTTTGTTTACAGGTTTGAGATTGTTAAAAAAGAACAAGATTTTTTTAAGAAAAACACGTACTTTTACATTAGTTATATAATAATGGTGTTAAAATATTTCTTTTTAATATTGACGTGAACAACATCAATTTAAAAATGCTGAAAACGTCTATGTAGCGGTAGTTGCTAAACAAGGTTCGAATGGGATTTTAAAAATAAAAATAAAAAACAAAAAGTGTTCCAAAAGTCAAGGCTATTGCTATAGCACCTTCTTTAACCAGAAAATCCAGACAAATTATTATTATTATTATTATTATTATTATTATTATTATTATTATTTTTTGTTCGTCCATGTAGTATCCACCGCTGATAGCAGTGATTAATCTCTTCGTTATGTTGGAGATATTTCAAAAGGTGTAATAGCTGGCCCCAAAATTTAATACAGCTGTATATACAAGGTAGGATTTAAACCTCTGACCTTACTTAAATGTGGATTAACTTTTGTCGCTGAACCACACGCTTTTAGATTTTAGATTTCTTATTTTTTTTTATTGATGAGATGAAAGATAATACTCCAATCCATGGTATTGAAAGGATGAACCTTATCGATGATAGCTGCATAAAGATGAGTTTTCTCGACACATTTTGAGATCAAAGATAATTTTGTTTGGGAGTTAGACTCAAATGATAAGTCTGAAACTTTTTTCCATGCCAACGTTATATCATGATAAATATCATAAAGGTTTGCGTTGAAGTTAGTCTACCACAACTGCCAAAATATCCTAAAATCCATTAACATACAGTTATCACGAATAGTTCCGCCGAATCTAGATCTTATTCTAAAAAGTGTTTTACATTATGTAAACAAATCAATTTATAACTTTAATATGGGGAATTAAGTAAAGTTCAATCTTTATAAAATTAACTTCATCAAATTCCTGTTTCTATTCCTAATTAATCACAAGCTAGCATAACTGATGAAATACATATGTTACTTATCCCGTTGGACCCTCATACATCGAGTCACTTCGTAATGAGTGTTTGGCCTAATTATCAAGTTAAAAAAATAATTATGTGTAAACTTCAAGTATGGTTGGTAAACTCTGGAATGTTAGGTTGGGAAAGAAACAAATAATGTAATCTACTTGCTTATCTTGAGGTTTACGCTTCTCGCCTTTTTTTTTTTTTTTTGACACGCCCAATTTGTTTAATTGAACATTTTTGTTCTTACTTAGTAAGAAAAAAAATTGAAATATGTTTTTTGGCTATTTACTTTTGTATTGCAGATTTAATCTGTCTCTAGTTCTTTCAAATACATTATTATGCAAAATTTATAAGAAAAATCATTAAATAAAATATAAAAAACATAAAATTTTAGAATTTTTAATAAAAATATATTAAAAATATGTTACTAATTAACATTCTTCTATTTCTAATATTTTGATCAGCTGGACGCAAGAAAAGCATATGATATAAGTGATGCAAAGGTGGAATAGGCTGTTTGTACTTGGCAGTTGGGGGAAATATCAAAACTTGAAAGAATATTTGTTTAGTAGTTGAGCACCATGCTCTTGTGGTCACATTAGTAGAAGAAGATGGATGACTTTTGAAATTATTATTTTTCATTGAAGAATGTATTTTTATTTGTCAATATATTATTTTAAAAAATTATTTTTTAATGATATTATTAATATGAAGTATCTATAATTTTGTTATCGAAAATTAATCTTTATCAAAAAAATTGGACTTATCATTTTCAGTAAAATTATATTTTTTTCGTTGTAAAAAAATCATTAGATTATGCTTCTCATTTAAAAAAAAAAAAATAGCTAAAGAAAAATTTGGCAGCTGGTTAGCTACCTTGTTGCTTTAAGTGATGTGTATCATTGTATCTGAAATTCTCGGTTGAGCATGTTGTGGATATAGACAAATTATACTTTAACATCATAATATATAATTTTGCTAAACCCTTTATAGATTGTTTGGGAATCCGTCCAGCCACTTCTAAAGTACATTCATAGCAAAAGTTACAAAGAAATTACGTTGGAGTGCCTATGTTCTAAACGAAGTAACGAACACATATCCAAACATATAAAGCCTATATAGGCTTAGTGTAAGAGGTTTCCTTTTCAAAAATACCTTATGTTCACCACCATGAATGATATGTTTAATCGAATTAAGTAAGTTAATAAACAAATATTAGTGCAAGTTGACAAACTTGATGAAAAATAATAATAAATCACAGCATATATATGTAATATGAACTGGATTTCTTTTTTCGTCCCTCAAAAGTCAGAATGAAGACGACAGT